AAACTAAGATATATACTATACCTCAGAATACATAGAGTGATCATTATAAAATTTTTGTATATTCCAATTTACCTGTTATGATTCTGAAATCTGACTGCAAATGATTGGAAATAAAAACAAAACAATATACTGGTGTTTTTAGTTTGTTGAAGAAATACTCACCATATGACCACATTTGCTTTGAAAACATTTTAAATATATTTTCATATTGAATGTAAATATTAGCCTCTGTTTTCTACTGAACAATTCACTTTATAAAAAGCTATCTTTTAAATTTCAGAAGGCAAGAACACTTTTAAAAAATGATATATACATTCCAATGGCTATCTTCTATAAGCATTTTCTTTGAAAATATCAGATTTGAACAGAACAGAAAAATTTACTGTTTTCATTCACTTCTCCATGATTTCAAAGAATTAACATTCCCAACAAAAAGCTCATGAGTGAGTTTCTTACCAAGCCATATGGAGTTATGAAAAATTCCATTCTGGAATCCCCATCCTTGAGCCTCTTCCCACAGCAAGACAAATAAGTAAATTAAGATGATCATAACGTCAGTTGTAGAGAAGTAACAGCCTGTCAGGAGCTGCTCACGATAAATTCTCAGAGCAGCCAGCTGAAATGTGACTGAAACATCTGGTTTCCACATCTTTTAAATAGTTTTTTTCAACTGTGAGGTCAGCGAATAGTCTCCAATGGCATTTTCTGTTGTGAAGTTACACAATTAACTCAGTGTCTGAAGCAAATTCTCTGACTCATTTGCATTGGCAACCAAAACTAAGGATATAGAATGACCATCTACATTTTGAAATTCACTTACTCAGAAAGGCGTTCATTTATTGTCAGTCAAAAAAACTTTTCTGCTAGGAAGTTTGTGTAACTTGGTGCAGATTCAGCAGTGATTGAAAGAAAGCCAAACTTCAGTAGGAATTTTAAGAGAAAGCCTGAATATCTTATTTGCAGTAAGTCAATTATGTGGTCTGGAGTTTGTGGTTAAGCACTAATCTTTAACTTGACCCTGGTAATGTTACATGAGTTTTTCCTATACATTGCCAAGCCTATAGAGAAAATTTAAAACAAAAAGTGTATGCAATTTGACAAATCCTAAGCCTTCTCCAGTGATGTAGGACTTCCTTACTGTCTGTCTGCATTTGTCCTGGGCTGGGGTCTGTTGCAGTCTTTGGTTTGTTGTGGTCAATATGTAAATAAATACATTAGTTTCCAGAAAAATAGTTCAATTTCAGAGCCTTAGGACATTCCAGCAGCTTTGGGGTACCCTATTATAACACAAGTTTCCCTGGCCACATATTCTTGATGTGTTGGAAGAAAGGTGGGTAGACAGTAATAAAGTTAACAAAAATACGGCCCTAGCTTCCTTGGACCACTCTAACTTTGAGGAGGAGGATTGAAATAATAGGTAAGAATTACCATAGTCAAGTCATCATGCCTTCAAATATCCTGAACTTCCTCTCCTTTCGTGTAGAGTCTTTGGTTAACAATGCCACTGATGCCAAAGGCATTTCCTGTTGTTGATTGATAGCTATTTACTGGCAGCTTTTGCTTCTCTTTCTTAATGGCTATTCTTTGCTACTTGACTTCTCTACTCTTGCTGCCAAAATGCTTCCCATTTGCTCCTATTACAGCACTCATTTCTCCCATGCCATATGAGTCCCTCCAGCGATTTTGGAATTCTTTGAAAAAGCCAACTTTCTGGACGTGCTCTGATCTGAAGTTAGCCTTGAATCCCTTGGGCATCTGTGCATCAGACATCATCCATGCATGGGTCTCATCTTTCCTTGAAAGAGCAGTTGTGGGGATGTAGGCTAAGGCTATACAATTTACTGAACACTCACTAAGATGTGCATAAAGTTACTAGACTTCAAAATCTCTATTTTGGGCCTGTGGCAAATGAGAGATGAGGGAAGCGTATCTAACATCACTGGTAGGGTTAGTGAGTTTAAGTTTGGTGCTAATTAGAAGGATATAGTCCAGACCAAGGGTGTGTGACTATGAAGACAGGCATGGTCAGAAAGAACAGGATGAATAGATAGTTGGAAGGAACAAACCATGACATTCTCTGGGAAGTGGAATTATATGAGTATTTTATGTTTGTGGTTTAGGCAATAAATATAACTTTACTTACGAAATGCTACAGCAGAACGACCAGATCCTTCCCCATTCTTGGTCTGGTCACGTTCTCTGGCTGTGCCCTCTCTGCATCTCTCTCAAGCACCTAATTTCCCTCTAGTTCTCATTTATCAAAAAAACTCTCAGGAGAGGGTTTGCAATTACTATTTACTTAGGCCAAATAACTAACAACAGATAACCTTCTGTGTTCATTTGCATTTTAATGAAGCTCCAAGTGTAGCAGGGTGTGAGTGTTCAACTCGTTACAACATAAAAATTTAATGAGTTGCTTTGATGGATTAACCCAATCTAGAGTGGGGGATTTCTTTCCCCTCTCCCACCTCCCATGCAGAATACAAATATTTCCCCTTACCTCTGTAAGATGTTTGAAAACCTTTTTCTCTCTAACATCGAGGAAATAGAAAACAATGCCTAATGATGTGGGCTCTGATTTGAAGAAAGTGGGTAGACAGAAGGGATGTTCAATTCTATTGTGGAAGAAAAGAGGAAATGGGGTTCTTAACATGGAAAAGAAACAGTGGGTAATCCAAGAAGGGACAAGAGAGAGAGAAGAAAAGAGAGCATAGTAAAGGAAGTGTTGCCTATCAACTTATTTTGGAACTTGCCAAAGAAGAACTTCCTGCCCACCCCCAGTACACACCACCCAGGATGTAACTTGTGAGGAGATGGGAGAAAATATACTAATGAAAGTTCTCTTCAGAAGATAGAGGATTGGCCTACCCCTCCCCTAATCTCTTTCTCTGCAGGCTAAGGTGTGCAGTGGCTCCTTTAGCACTTGCCATCACTGGCTGCAAACCCAGCAAAACTGTGCTTTTTGCAGAGGCAGCTTCTCTTTTGGTTGCTTTTCCACAAGGTTTCAATGCCCATAAGCCTAAGCAGCTATGAGACTCCTGAGGGCATGGTGGGGAGAATTCCCCATCTGAATCAGGGTAGGGTTGCACTGATCAAGTTTAAGACAGCCTAAGCTGGCACAGGGATTTAGTGATGTCACTATTCTACTTTAGTGCCTCATTTTTTTAGTTTAAAGTTTATATCACTAAATTACTGTGCCAGCTTACAAGTTGAAAGGAGGTATCCTTTTGACATGATCAGTCTCAGCTGACAGGGAAAAAGGATGGAGAAGTGTCAGGTGGAGAAAGAGAGGGAAGGGAAACAGGCCGTAAGGGATCACATGTCTGACTACTTAAAAAAGATCGTATAGCAAAACATTGTGGGAAAATGCAATTCTTTGGCATACAGTATGAAAAACTTATTAATTAATTATATTGTAACCTTGGAAAGAGAAGGAAAAAGCAAGATAAGACGAGATAAAAGAGTGGAGCTCAGTGAATGACAAAATATGTCAATAGAGGACATTTCTAACACTGCCAGTAAGGACATAAAATTACATAAAAATACAGGAATGCTCCACCCCACTGTAGGATCACCACACGAACTAGTATGGAAATAAAGGAAAGCTCATTCCTCTTGAGTATTATTTAAAATGATTGAAGAAAAATTATGTGTGACGTAGAAGAAGGTTAAAGAAATTAAATATGTGGTTTTCCATTCTTTCATTCAATAATGAGTGTAAACTTTTACAGGGCCAGTAAGCAAGAGAGAACCTAAAAAGAACAATGGGAAATCTTTGGAAAAGTGAAAAATGTAATTATTTTATATCAAAAAGTTTTTAGACAGTGAATATGAGCCTATGCATAATACTGAATGAAATAATGTAGTTTCAAATTTATGGGTAAACAGATGTCAGAAGGATCTGAAACTGACATTGGAGTCCCATAGTTATGTGATGTGATAGTCATTAGTAAGATTCACCAAATTCTTCTGGCTTTCCACCTTCCAGCAACATGGTACCATTGTACTCTCTGGATCTTTGTGGTTTAGTGAGATTTTGTGACTATTTTTGGCCAGTGAGATGTGAGCAGCAATTATGCAGTCATTTTAGAGAAGAGGATTAGATTACTAATGCTCCGGA